GCATTTTTTATCAGAATTTCCTAGTTAAGCGTTTTTACAAGAAAGAAGGAAGGTGTTATGTTAATTCCCAAAAGGAAAAACACACATTTGTTGTGTTTGTTATAGCAATGTAAAATGTTTTTTGCTGGCATGTAGGTGATTCACTCTAAAACTTCTATTCAGTACTGGGTCAGGAAAGCTGGCTTTAATGTTAACTGGCCTTTGGAGAAATCTTCTCATCATTCTTTGGCCAGAGCTCCGTCACTTCTGGATGAGTTGTATCCTCTCCATCCAACTCTGTCTCTTCTTCCCACTCCTTCTTCTTATCCTCGTCCATTCAGCAAATATTCACATGCTAACCTTTACCTGTGCTGTTGTAAGAACCAAGGAGCTTGAAACAGAATTGGCTGCTGAGAAGACAAATGTACAGGAAAGTAAAACACACACCATGAATGTCAAATGCCGTTAGGAGAGCAGGTCCCATCTAGTTGGGCTAAGAGCAGATTTGTTTGAAACAGGGCATTTGTTTTAAACTTTGAAGGGTGGATTAGGAGTTTGATAGGTAGAGATGAGGAAAAAATGAAAAAAATTGTAATCAGAAATTGGTTTAGTCCTCAATAATTATTAGTGACTCATTTGTATGACAGTTTAGAGTTCAGGAGGCCTTTTCTGTGATGTGCTGCATAGCAAGTATCTTACTCTTTGTAGGCCCTATGGCCTCTCAACCAACAATCCACCTTGCTATTGTAGCAAAAATGGGGATAGAAAATACACAAGTGAATGAGCCTGGCTGTGTTTCAGTGAAACTTGACAAAAATCAGGCAGTGGGTCAGAGTTGGCCTGTAAGCTATAATTTGCCAGTCCTTATGGTATGATTAGGGGAAAATAGGCCTGGAAAAGAAGCTGCTAGTTAAATTTCAGAGAGTTTTAATACCTGGCTAAACAAAGGGAATGAACTGAAACTCTGCTTCGTGAAACCAAGATTGTTATATCTCTGTGACTGAAAATTTTATATAAAACAGTATGTTAATAATAGTATGTTAATAGTACACTAGAAGCACCTAGTAAAATGTGCTTTAGATCATAAGTAAAAGACTATTGGCATCTTTGGGGTTTTTACTATGAAATCTTCATGAGAATATATCAGAATTCAGATTTTGGAAAACAGAATATATTAATGCATGAACTGACTCTTAGGATTTCTGAACAAAAATGTCAACATTTCTATTGTTGAAAAATGATAGTGGGAACTGACTCAAATTACATACTGTATACATATGTAAGGTGTGGATGGGTAAAGTTATGATATTTAAAACTTGGCCCCTGTTCTTGGCATTGAATAAAAAAAAATGAGGACTAGGTTTGAGGGTAAAGGAAAAAAGAGAAGAGAAAGTTTAATATGTTGATAGATGAGGGTTTAGATTTCTTAGACTTGAGGGCCTTTTGCCAGCTGAGTGGTTTGAAGTTTTAAAGGAGACTAGAAGAAAGTTGATGCTGATCTGGCAAAATGGAAAAGGTTGCCTTGCTCTGCATGCAAAAGAACCTAAGGTAGGGAACAAGACAGTGTGCCCTGTAAGACGTGGGTGAGCAGGAAGCCAATAGTCTGGTCCTGGAGCATCAACAAATTGCTCTTCGTGAGCTACCTGCACATCACTTGGTTGCTGTGATGGTCAAATGGGTTTCGGTCAGCCTTTGTTCTACATGCAGGTGATAGTCACTTACTAGCCTGGACAAAACCCCTTGAGTCCATACTGGCTGCTGAGGTGTTTATCTAATGGAGAAGCAAATGACCTCATGGTCTGATGACTGGAAACTTTTAGGGCCAACTGTACGACCTGTCAACCCAGTGAGTTAAGAGGGGGGCGGCTGACAGCATTTAGTACCTGTGTTACAGGAATTGTTTGGGGGTTCAGTTTGAGTTACACATGTTCTGAATTTTCGCATGTCACAGCTTATGTTAGATACTGTAGAAAGTTCTTTCATCTGTATCAGTATTGTTTTGTTCTGGTAGTATTACATTCTTCAGGATATGTTTTCATGTTTCTCGTCAGAGCAAACATCTTCAAGGCGAGATTATATTCTTTGAATGCTAATGTTTCCAGGGCCTGCCTAGAACAAGACTGTTTAATCATTCAAGGAACAAAAGTGAACATTTCTAATTGCTTCCAATCATTGCTTCACCGTTGTTTTGTGGTCTTCATTTATTTGTGGTTTTCATCAGAATATATTAATCAGGTGTTTTAAATCTTGGTGAAATCATTTAGATGGAAAAAGTTTGGCCTGTGATATATTTATATGTGGTTTTTTTTTTTGGCATTATGATACTATAGAAGAAACAAAGTTATAGTGTATTAAATTGTGGGTGCTAGCAGCATAAGGGAAAGGAAGTAAGCTTAGTTTGCGGTGGAGAAATGTGAAAATGAACTAGTTTTCTGGAATGCACAATTAGAAGCACAGTGGTAACGACATAAAATAACGGTGTCAGTGTTTCTTGAGGAGACATGAGATTGGACTTTTATTGGTCGATCCCACATATATAATTAGCAGTATTTCAATCCTTTCTGGACTTTGATTTACTTATCTATAAGCTATAATGAAACCATAATTGTTTGAAATATATCTGTTTATTTTTTTTGAGATTTAATGTTTTGTCTGCTTAACATTGCTTCTTCGAATCATGTGATACATAATAACCAGCAGTCCCAGGACGTTGCTCGTTGATATCTATTTAATTTTTACTTGTTTTTCTCGACACTTAAATTATATGTTTTCTGAGGGTGTAGCTGAAATCATATGGTATAGAGCCATTTTTAAACTCATGGTGACATACTGAAAAGAAGATTATGTGGACAAGACATAATGGTTGTAATTAAGTGCCAGGGAAAATAATACGTTCATAGAAAACTGAAAAATACAATGCAAAGTGTAGGTAGAGTATGGAGATGCATGAACTTCTGGTTGAAAACCACATATTTAATCGAGGCATCTGCCCAGTCTAAATGCCAGCATGTTCTGTGGTAGGCAGGGACGAGTAGGTGGGTTGTTGTGGATGTGCATTGCTTTTGGCTGCCAGTGTCATTTGCCTGGTTAGAAGACGACACTGCAGAAGACAGAGCCTCTTGTGCAAGTCACGAGTAGATAGCACTCTAACTTTTCCTCTTTTGGAGGGAAAAGACTAGTTCTTGCCTCTTCAGTTGCTTTGCAGACTCTTCAGCCAGATGTGTATTTGTTCTTAATTCTGCTTCCCCCTGCCTTATGCAGGGGTGAGAGAGACAACAGGTTCCCAGAGGTGCAAGAGGCTCAGGGAGTCAGCAGATGAACAGTTTCTTCTCAGCAATAGCTGGGAGAAAATAAGCGAGCTGGGAAGTTGATGGAAACGAATCCATACAGCATTTCAATGAGCGCATGCAATGAGGTGTGAGACTTAAGGAGCTTATTAGCTGTGAAATTTCAGCCTTGATTTCCTTGCCTCAAAATTATGTCTTGCAAGTTTAAGAGAAAATTGAACAGTTTTAACCTATTCAAGTGTAAAGTTTGCAGCATTGGAATATTACACAAGCAAGCATATATGTATATATAGTTATATGTGTATTATATTTTAAAATCTCGGTATACAAAATTGGGATCAGAGATGAAGTGATTGTAAGACAACAGTTTGTTAGTATTCCTCACATTGTGCTGCATTGGACCCTGTTGATGAAATTCACATTGTGTGCAATCTATTAAGTACTTTAAGGTATAAATTTAGTGGATCTCATTGGATAAGGAGACAGGAAAAATGTGATTTCTGATAACTCAGATTTGGCCTTAAAATTTTTTTTTTCTCAATATGGTGTTCATTTGCATCATATCTAAATTAAAATTATTACATGTGAAAAAATAAAATTGTCCATTCTGGATTAGAAAATGTCTCATAAGATATTTCGTGAATCAAGCTCAGCTTCAGAATGTGAAGAGACTTTACTGTGTCTTATTTTGGCAAGTGTACTTTTACAAGGGTGAAACAGATGGGATATGTAGGTGTGTGTGAGAATTTAGCTTCAGATCTTATCACGCTGGGATTTGTCTGTAAATCCAAGGGTTCTCAGAATTTCTGAAATTGATGTTTGGAGCAGATGAATTGAAAAACATTGCTAATTGCATCTGGATGAATAGACCACTGAAGAGCTGTTGCAGGTGTCATTAGTTTGTGAAGCCAGTGGTCAGATTTTACTAGGAAATCCCATTTCCCCATCTTTCAGTTTTGCCCAGTCCCTCTCTAATATGGTTTCTCATATTTTAACATTCTTTCCCTTTATCACTTTGCTGTATTAAATAAAATAGATTTATCATATTGTAAAATTACCTTCCCTTTCTACACCTTCTCTTATAAATGATGCAATGCTCTATTAAGTAAAATAGCCCATGCTTACTATGTCATTTAAGCTACTTGGTTTAGGAGCAAGGAACAGAAACTGATTCTATTTTCAGTTAAATAAAGGGACCTTATGGAAAGGATCACGATGCATTTTGCATATACCACCCAGCTTCAAGAGGGAGAGATGTCTGGGAAATTCTGGAAAGCATAGTGGATAGCATCTCCTAGACTTTCTAAAATAACACAACCATAGCAACCACTAGCTTCTGTGTACCATATCACTTTTTGAAGTCCTGGTAAAGTCTGTGTGGCTCACTCAGTGCCAGAGGCTCACAGCACCTTGGCCTGGAGATTAGGGCCTGGGTATCTGGGGAGTTGTTCTGAGCTGAACAGCAGCTACTGTCCTGTACAGCTGCACGTTGCTTTTTGCGTTAGATGGTTTAGAAACTCATCACATTAATCTTTTTTTTATCTAAGTGTTAGATTTTTTCCTTTTGAGTTTGAGGCCATCCTTTAATTACCTCTTTATCCATAAATGTGCATTTTCAAAGTGTAGCAAGTTTTGTATTGTTACTCAGATGTGCTGAACGAGTTATTAAAACAGTGACATGTGTTCTAGGATCTAACATGTTGTTTTTTTTTTTCTGGCCTTTTTACATTTCAGTGTCTGTATTTATGCTGAAAGTCCAAGTGAATGACATCATCAGCCGGCAGTATCTGAGTCAAGCAGTTGTAGAAGTGTTTGTAAACTACACGAAGACAAATTCTACAGTAACTAAAAACAATGGAGCAGTGTTGATAAAAGTACCTTATAGGTCAGGACTCAGCTTAACCATTATTGCTTACAAAGATGGTTACGTGTTGACTGCGCTACCGTGGAAGACTGGAAGAATGCCAAGTAAGCATATAGATGGGTTTTGTACACATTACACAGAAATGATTCTTTTTTCCCTTTGTTATGTTCAGAAGGATGCAGAGCAGAGTGCATTTTAAAAGAACATTATGTTTGGGCTTCTTAGACTGCCTCAAAGTGGGTAGTTTATAAACAACAGAAATTTATTTTTCAAAGTTCTGAAGGATGAAAAATGCAGAATCTTAGTGGCAGCAGATTAATGTCTGGCAAGAGCTTGCCTTATGGTTGATAGATTCCTCCTCCTGGGTTTTCACATAGTGGAAGAGGCTAATGAGTTCTGTTGGGTCTGTTCATAAGGACAAAAATCCCATTCATGAGTGCTCTGCCCTCTTGACATGATCACCCCCAAAAGGCCCCTCTGCCTGATACTGTTACCTTGGATGTAAGCATTTCCACATAGAGATTTTAGGAAGACACACATTCTGACATAGCAATAATAAAGACATTTTTCCTTTGCAGATTTATGTATTTATTTATTTATTTTCATGGTATTTAAGACAGAAATAGATCTTCAATCTCCTGGTTCATTACCCAAATGTCTGCAATAGCTTTTGTCCGGGCAAAGCCAAGCCTAGGTGCCTAGAACTCGGTTTGAGTCCCCACATGGGTGGTAAGGATCCATGTATTTGATTGTTTTCTGGGGTGAGCATTAGCAGGCATTTTTACTCCCGAATAAAGAGTCCTCTCTTTATTTGGGAGTAGAAATACCTAGGAGTTCAGTTCTGCATGGAACTCTTGGCTGCAGGTGGTGTGTGGAGACTGACAGAAAAGGAATGGTAGGAAACGGGATAGCCAGGTATAGTGGAATCAAATGATGAAAGGATGTTCTTAGATTAGACCCGTAGTTGGGATTTGTGTGCTAAATAAGGAGACACTTATGATACATTGTTGAGTCCAGTGAGTGTAGGCATTATGGAAACTGGATTTATTCACTACTGTGTAATGAATATTCCAGCAGCAAGGTTGAGATAGATTCAGGGAGCCTCATGTGCAAGCTGTGACAGCTCTCTTACATGGTAAATTCAGCCTTTAGCCAGGAAGGGAATGACAAGCACAGAGGATAGGTGTGACCTGTTAGAGAGGATTGGTAGAAATTAGTGTTACTGATTGGATATTGGGAGGAATACCAGAACACAAATCAGACTGATTGGAATAATTGATACATTAGGATATCATTCTTTAAAAAAAAATATGTTGGTTCTTGTAAGGATTTAGATATTTTGTTTGCTTTCACACTAGAAACAGTTAAATTTTTATATTGATAATTTAGGAGAATAAGTAAGATGAAAAATGAATAAAAGGTATTCACACAAACCTTTAATAGTCATAACTAGAAAATCTGAGTATTATGCTTGAGGTGAAATCATTATGTATTTGAGTTCACAAAAGAGAAATTAAGTACAACTATACATAGAATAAAGTTAGAAAATAATGAAAAGCCATGTAAAGTCATAAAAATGAAATATTAAAAATATCGAAGATTAAACTAAATTGACATATTAAAAATATGAGGAAGAGGTAAGTTTCTAGGTCTGTGAGATTAAAAATATCTATTGGCTGATCTAAATTAAGATGAGGGAAATAAATAGAAATACACCAAAACTTTAAAGAAGTAAAGACGCTCTACACCAGGGGCTGATGTGGCATGGCACATAAAGCTGCTGCCTGTGACACTGGTGTCACATCAGATCTCTGATTTGAGCCTGGCTGGCTCTTCCATGTCCAGCCCAGCTTCCTGTTAATGTGCTTTGGGAAAGCAGCAAAAGACAGCCCATGTACTTGGGCTCCTGCTGTCCATGCGAGGACCAGGATGAAATTCCAGGCTTCTAATGTTAATCTGGCCCAAGCTGTTCGTTCCATTTGGGGAATGAACTAATGAATGAAGTATCTCTCACTCTTTCTGTTCATCTGTCTTTCAAAAAACAAAACTTTTTTTTAAATGGCTCCAAATTTGGCAGTAATCTTAAAAGTCAATAAAATGATTATTTTTTCATACATAAATGACTGTTGTCTTCATATGACAAACCATAGTCAACAGTTATTGTTCTAGGTATAAAACTTGATTAAAGATTGGGGCCAGTGTGGTGGTTTATCAGGCTAATCCTCCACCCTGGGTGGTGGCATCCCATATGGGTGCTGACTTGTGTCCTGGCTGTTCCACATTCCATCACCTGGGAAAACAGTGAAGTTTCGCTCAAGTCTGGGAAGAAGCTCCTGGCTCTGGATTGGCTCAGCTCTGGCCATTGGGAGTGAACCAAGGGGTAGAAGATCTTGTCTTTCTGTAAATCTACCTCAAAAATTTTTTAAAACTTGATGAACTGTAAAAATGTACTCAATCTAGGGTAGCTTTGATTGTATGTCATAAATATAACATATATACACACACATATGTTATATACACACACATATATTATATATATATTTAAGGATTTATTTTTATTTGAAAGACAAATTCTATAGCTAGAAGAAGAAATAGATGAACTCTTCCATCCTTTGATTCACTCCCCAAATGGTTTCAGTGTTAGAGCTGAGTTGATCTGAAGCTGGTAGCTGGGGGCTTCTTTCAGATCTGCTGTATGGGTGCAGGGTCCCAGGGCCTTGGGCCATTCTCTGCTGCTTTCCAAGGCCATAAACAGGTAGCTATATAGGAAGCAGGAGCAGCTGGTATTAGAACTGGCACCCATACACGATGCCAGCACCCAGGGTGGAGGATAAGCACCATCACACCAGTACCCTGTGTATATGATATTCACAGAATAAATTATAGTTACTTTGTGATGATAATTTTCTGAAGCTCATTTTATAAATTCATCATTGACACCTAATTTAGGAAAAACTTATTTAACAACCTGAATAATGAAGACATCCCAGACATGGTGTCTTATGACTGTAATGCTTAATTATATAATGTTAGATATGATTCTAAAATAAGGTAGATATAAATGTCCCTGTTATTTTGCATGGTAAATGCTTTCATCAGGACAAAAGAGCAATAGGGAAAAAGAGAAGTTTCTATTAAACAGGAAGCTTAAAAGTATTAATTCCTGATATGATCATACTCCTGGAGAACTACAGAACATCAGTCTTAAAATCTCTTTAACAGATTTCTAACAGTCACTGCTTACGGTTAGCACCGGTGTGTGTCAGTACATGTTGTCACATGCCAGCAGTGGTAAGCAGTTAGGAAAACCAATGAAAAGAAATGTCCCTTAGAACAATACGAATGAATAAAAAAAAATATTTAGGAAAAATCTACCCCCCAAAATCAATTTTGTGTGGAAAAATTACAAATGTCAAATATGACTAATGGATACTAAAAATAAAAAGAACATAAAACTATGGAAACCTGAAAAACTCATATTTTGGGAAGTCTGAATTTTCTAAGGAATTTAATTCTTTCAAGATTGCTTTTTTTTTTTCTTTTTTCTTTTTTTTTTTTTTATTACATTGCATCATGAGACACAGTTTTACAGGCACTGAGATTCCCCCCTCCCCTTCCCAAAACCTGCTCCCCCCACCCTCCCATGGTGGATTCTTCCATCTTGTTGCCTTACCACAGATCAAATTCAGTTGAGATTTTTTTTCCTTGCAAGCATCTACAAAACATAGAGTCCAGCATCTTATTGTGCAGATAAGTTCAGCAGTTTCATGGGGAGACAGTCTCTGGTCTGAAGGTACAGCTGAAAGAGTATCATCCCAATCAATTGAAAGCCCTGAGATTACATCAGTAACAATTTATAACGTAATGGAATTAGTTGACATGATATTGTGTAACCAGCATGTTCAAAGAGAGAGAGAGAGAAAACAACAGATTGCTTATTTTTTAAAAAAGATTTTTATTTATTTATTGAAAAGTCAGATTTACAGAGAAAAGGAGATGCACCGAGAGAGATCTTCTGTTAGTTCACGCGCCAAGTGGCCTCCATGGCCAGAACTGAGCTGATGTGAAGCCAGGAGCTTCTTCCAGGTTTCCCACATGGGTGCAGGGATCCAAGGTTTTGGGCCATTCTCTGTTGCTTTTCCTAGGCCACAAGCAGGGAACTGGATGGGAAATGGAGCAGCTGGAATTAGAACCAATGCCCAGAGGGGATCCCGGCAGGTGCAAAGCAAGGACTTTAGCCACTAGGCTATTGTGCCAGGCCCCCCAAGTTATTATTATTATTATTTTTTAAAGATTTATTTTTATTATTTTTTCATTGGAAAGGTGGATATACAGAGAGGAGAGACAGAGAGGAAGATCTTCCGTCTGATGATTCACTCCCCAAGTGAGCGCAACGGTCGATGCTATGCCGATCCGGAGCCAGGAGCATCTTCCGGGTCTCCCACGTGGGTGCAGGGTCCCAAAGCTTTGGGCGGTCCTCGACTGCTTTCCCTGGCCACAAGCAGGGAGCTGGAAGGGAAGCGGGGCTGCTGGGATTAGAACCGGCGCCCATATGGGATCCCAGGCGTGCAAGGCGAGGACCTTAACCACTGTGCGCCACCGTGCCAGGCCCTATTTTTTTTTTTAAGATTTATTTTTATTGCAAAGGTACATCAGATTTACAGAGAGAAGGAGAAATGGAAAGATCTGCTGATTCAGTCCCCAAATTGCCACAGTGGCCAGAGCTGAGCTGGTCAGAAACCACGAGCCAGAAGCTTCTTGCAGATCTCCCCATGGCAGCAGGGTCCCAAGGCTTTAGGCCAGCCTCCACTGGTTTCCCAGGCCATAAACAGGGAGCTGAAATGTAACTGGAGCAGCTAGGATGTGAAGTAGCACCCAGGTGTGATCCCGGCTCTTGCAAGGTGAGAATTTAGCCCTTGACTCATCATACCAGGTCCTATAGAGTTGTTTTTTAAATATATATATATTTTTAAAAGGCAGAGAAACAGAGAATGAGAACTTCCATCCAGTGGTTCACTCCCAAATTCACTGACAATTAAGGCTGGGCGAGGTTCAAGCTGGAAGTTTGAAATTTTATTCAGTTCTCTCTCGTGGGTCCTGAACATTTGGGCCATCCTGCCACATTTCTTTCTTTCTTTTTTTTTTTTTTTTTGTAGATTGGCTTGTTTTACTTAGCAATCTGCATTTAATATTCTTCCATGTCATATTGTAATTTTTTTTTAACTTTTTTTTTTATTACATTGCATCATGAGACACAGTTTTACAGGCACTGGGATTCCCCCCTCCCCTCCCCAAAACCCACTCCCCCCCCATGGTGGATTCTTCCATCATGTTTCATTACCACAGATCAAATTCAGTTGAGATTTTTTTTTCCTTGCAAGCATCTATAAAACATAGAGTCCAGCATCTTATTGTGCAGATAAGTTCAGCAGTTTCATGGGGAGACAGTCTCTGGTCTGAAGGTACAGCTGAAAGAGTATCATCCCAATCAATTGAAAGCCCCGAGATTACATCAGTAACAATTTATATCGTACCAGAATTAGTTGACATGATATTGTGTAACCAGCATGTTCAAAGAGAGAGAGAGAAAACAACAACAAAAAAAGTACAAGTTCTGAACCACATCCTATCACTTCTACATTGACATTACAATTATTAGTTTATATACAGCTGGGTTCTATACACCTTAAAATGGCTATAGATTACTATTCAGCTGTCTCATGTCTATTTTAATTTTAGTATTTGGCAGTTCATAGTGTTGAAGCCTGATTTTGCAGAACCTGGCTGTTTTTCGGGTAGTCTAGCTCTATAACTGTAACAAGACATATGTCAACAGTTTAGGTGAACAGTTTTAGGAGGGGTGTGCAGAGAAATCCTCCATACCCTAGTGAGGAGCAACCAATCTTTGCGTCCCACCCAGTGAGTTATAAGTGCATCCCCCCTGCCCATTTCCTGTTTCTAAGCTTTCCTCGCTGTTCTCCATCTATTCTAGGTTTTTTTTGTTGTTGTTGTTTATTTGTTACTTTGTTTCGAGGGGTTTCTGGAGCAATCCTGATGGTCATTATGAGAGAGAGTGGGGACCCAAAATTAGAACCAGGCAAGAACCAGAGAAAGCTCCTCTCCCTAGTCCTGAAGGAAGTTTACTGTTTTGTTTCTGCGGACCGCTCAGTGCTCCTGGTTGTCGTTCAGATGACCTTGGATCCTGCAAGGCGGGGTATGGGCTTCTTCCCTCCCAGGTGTGAGACCCAAATGGAAATGGGTGACCTCAGAGTTCTCGGCCTCCGAAGGCACTCCAATTTCCCGTGGTCTCCTTGCATCCTGCCACTTTTCAAGGAACAATAGCAGGGCACTGGACCGAATGGAGAAGCATGGAATTGAATCTGCACTAAGCTATGGTATACTAGTTATTTCAGGTGGTGTCTGAACTTGCTAAAAACACAACACTGCCCTGTATATCTTTTTTGTAAGTTGGCAAGATGATATACCTGATTTTTGAATTAGTATGATATATTTAACCATTAAATAAACAAGATATGTTACAATACCAAATTGTAACCATTAAAAAAACTACCTATAGGTCAGAACAGCAGCTGAGGATGAAAAAAAGATACAGGTGCCACCTCTAAAATAAAAATATTATATATGTATATATTATTAAGGAAATGCTAGTTGTCCTACCTAAAAAAAGTAAATGGACATAATTGTGGCCTAGTAATTTTTGTTAAAAGAATTTCAAATTAGGAAATATGGCATGCTTTGTCTCATTAGTAATCTAAGAACTATATACTGAGGAAATACACACTTTGATTTTTCACCTTAAAAGGTATTTTTTAATTTTTAAAGATTTATTTTTATTGGAAAGGCATATCAAAGAGAGGATAAGAGACAGAAAGATCTTTCATCTGCTGGTTCAGTCTCCAAATGGCAACGGCCAGAGCTGAACCAATCCTACGCCAGGAGCTTCTTCTGGGTCTCCCATGTGGAAGCAGGCTCCCAAGGCCTTGGGCCATCCTCTGCTTCTCTCCCAAGTCATAAGCAAGAAGCTGGAAAGGAATTGGAACAGCTGGGACACAAACTGGCTCCCATATGTGATCCCAGAACTTGCAAGGGAGATTAACCTATCTAGCCATAGAGCTGGGCCCCTTTAAAAAGGTTTTAATAAGTAATTGTCCACAATATTGATATGTTAAGGCCAGAATTTTGGTGTAGCAAGTTAAGCTGCAATCTGTGATGCTGGCATCCCCTGTGAGTGCCAGTGGGAGTGCAAGCTATTCCACTTCTGACTCAGCTCTTTGCAAATGCACCTGAACAACTAATGAAGCATGGCCTAAACGGTTAGGCCCCTGCCACCTACCATAGAGATCTTGATGGATTTCCAGGCTCTTGGCTTTTGTCTGGCCCAGCACCAGGTGTTGTAGCATTTGGGCAATGGACCTATGGATGCAAGATTTTTCCACATCTTATGTTTGTAATTGCCTTTGGAATTATGTTTTAATAAGATTTTTTAAAGTGTAGAAGCATTGGAATTCTCAGATGTTACTGATGGTAGTTCAAATTGGCAATGTTATCTAGGCAGCAGCTGAAGTACACGTATCAAAGTCTTGAGCTTCGTAAATGCTAGGCATCCACTAATGGTAATCTTTCATAGAGACAAATATAATGTGAACAGACATTTGTGCACCTGCATATTGATTTCATCTATTTAAGAGTAAAATGGTAAGTCTTAAATCTGTAATATTACAGAAGCATTTAAGTAACATGTGGCCTTAAAGTGTTATAACTGTTTCTCAATAGACTCTTATTTGTAGAAAGATAAAAATAATTAGTATCATCGTATTATGTATTTTAAAGAATGATGGGTAATATCAATGGAGATCTAAATTGAAATATTTAATGAGTGATATTGTGAAAACCATTGTTTTTATTCTTTTCTAAATCTCTCAACTTTTTCTAGCTGACACTATTTCTTTTGTATTTAGAAAAAAATTGCTAAGTAAAAAGAAACTTGAATATTTTAGTGAGAATCAAAAGGATTTTCCTTGGTTTCATTGTCTTAAAAAGCTATCTGGCTGTCATAATAAGTTAACTATGAGAGCGAAAATCCCAGGAGGACATAATGCGCTGTTAGCAATCATCCTGAGGACCATGTTAAGATCCTGCCACTTTCTTTCCAACTTAATGTATCCGTTAATCTAAATGTTACTATATTCTGAAATTGAATTTATATTCTCATTTAGCAATTAACTTTTCCTTTGGAAAGAATAGATTCTTCTCAACATTGTATATTTTTGTATTCTATTTTATTTAAAACCTTTTGAAATATTTCAAGGTATTAAGGGTCTTTCCATGCAGAGATGTTTTTCTCATTAGAGTTTTAAAGATACCATGCCATTTATATTCATTTTAAGTACTTACATTTCAACTCATGGTTTGGGTAACAGCTCAAAATTTTACAGGTAAGTTGCTTTGGTTTATTTCCAATTATTAAATCCTTTTGTGCCCCACCTTCTTGCTTCCGATCTACAAATAATCCCAAAATTCAGGAATCCTTCAAGTGCTGTTTCTCTCCCACCAGTTACTTTACGTGCCTGTTCTGATCAACAGGCTCAGCCTCGTCCTGGCCATCATGTGTTGTGTTAAGCTCACTCTTCTTTTGCCAACTGAGTCAGTTGGGGAAACCACATCATGCCCAAAAGAACTTCGTGCTCTTATATGGGAAGCAAAAAAGCTAGAGTGGATATAGTCTGTCTAGAAAACCTTGAATTATGGCACCCATAAGTTTAACACTCAGATATAAATAACAAGTAACAGTTATGTAAAGAAAAGATTACATGTTCTCCAACATTAAACTTGATCGTTTATATCTGTTTATTGAACATCATTAGTCACATTGGGACAGACTATTCTGTGAAATAAAAACTAGTAAAATAAATATATTTTTTCTCTCCATTATTTCTTATGAGGTACTTTTAAAAAATTATTTTTATTGGAAAGTTAGATACACAGGGAAGAGAGAAAGAGATCTTCTGATCGATGCTTCACTCCCCAAGCAGCTGCAATGGCTGGAACTGCGCCTATCTGAATCCAGGAACCTCTTCGAGGTCTCCGCTGCAGGTGCAGGGTCCCAAAGCTTTGGGCCATCCTCAGCTGCTTTCCTAGGCCACAGGCAGGGAGCTGGATGGGAAGCAGGGCTGCCGGGATTAGAACCGGCACCCATATGGGATCCCAGCAAGTGCAAAGCAAGGCCTTTAGCAGCTAGGCTACTGCGCAGGGCCCTATGTGAGGTACTTTTAAAAATTAATGGAAATAGTCCTTTGTGAGAAAACTCTGCATAAAATTTTATTTTGCATAAATGTCAACTTTTTCACCAAAATAATTATCTTGTAACTCAATATTTTTGAAATCCCCTCATATTCATCCTTCCCTTGATTTGGGTTGTTTCTCCTAAAAAGCAGTTTGTTTTTACCAACTCCTAGGGCTTGCTGTAAGAGAATTGTCCTAGTTATTCCCTGCATTTACTAACTGTGCTCATTTCACAGTATATTCATCAGTCACACTTTCACTGTTCCCGCAAAGCCAAGCAAATATATGGCTATTTGAAGACACTGTTTTAATCACTGGAAAACTAGCGGGTAAGTACAGTATTTTTTAACTTTGGAATTAAAAGCCTTAAATAATACTAAATACTTATCCTAAAGATCTTGGAGAGAGCTTTATAAAATACAGGTGGATGTGTAAAAAGTAATTGTTGATAGTTGGCAAAGCATAACACTTGGGCTGGTAAATCCTAGCCATATCATCTGTACCTTTTATTTTTGTATTTATATTTTGTATTTTGTACCTTTTGTTTTGTATTTTTATAGGATTATCCCTTATCCCATAGTTCTTTCCTTCTTTTTAATAAGATTTATTTTTTATTACAAAGTCACATATACAGAGAGGAGGAGAGATAGAGAGGAAGATCTTCCGTCCAATGATTCACTCCCCAAGTGGCCGCAATGGCTGGTGCTGTGCCAATCTAGAGCCAGGAGCCAGGAAATTCCTCCAGGTCTCCCACGCGGGTGCAGGGTCCCAAGGCTTTGGGCCATCCTCGGCTGTTTTTCCAGGCCACAAGCAGGGAGCTGGATGGGAAGTGGACCTGCTGGGATTAGAACCGGCGCCCATATGGGATCCTGGTGTGTTCAAGGTGAGGACTTTAGCTGCTAGGCCCTGTATTTTTTCATTACTGAGCTAATATGTATTATAAGTAGAGAAAAATCTAAATTGAACATTAATTATTGAATACAAGTTGATTGAAACCAGTTTTTAATCTTACTGTCATGCAAATAATTCACATGTAGTAGTAGGAATTAGTCTTTCCTTTGATCTCTTTGCTAGATATGAACTTGAAAGTATTTTTATTTGAAGTGTAGAGAAAAACAGATTTTCCTTCTGGTTGTTCACATCCCAAATCCCTACTACAAGCAGAGCTGGGTCAGATCAAACCAGGAACTCAGAAGTCACGTGGGTGACAAGAGGCTAAGCCCTTGACTCCTCTCGTTGCCTACCAGGGTGCACGTTAGCAAGCCGTGGAAGCTGGAATCGGATTGAACTGACTCAGGCACTCCGACATGGGATGTGGGCATCACAGGCTACACTTCACAGCAGAGTGGACCTCCACAACCCCTCTTCATGCCCAGTGGACCAGGAAATACTGAAAAGAGTGTCTGTGTGTCCCCCTCTTACATTCCATCTCTAGCTGGGATCTCAGTGATAGGCAGACTCGGGAAAAGGACAGCGTATAGCACTGAGACCCTTTTGGCCTCTCTAATCATGGGTCCTTCCGTTTTTACCACCTACATTGATCTCGGAGTCTGGCTGGAGAGGCCTGAGGTTGAGTAGATAAATACTGCTTGCAGAACATGGTTCTCTTTGATTGCATATTCCTCCCAAGGAAAGCAATGCAGGAAACAATGTTTTTGGTGCTGGTTCTAGCTGAGCCTTCCAGCTTTGCCTTACTAACCATGAAAATGGTGGTGGTATTTTTACCTCACCTTCCCAAAACCATAATTTGTGCTCAGGATAGGTTCCAGAATTCTGTGGCTCATTTTGCACATTATATAAAATCTTGATAAATGACAAAATTTGCAATTTTTTTTTTTACATTGCTAGATTTTGTTCAAGCATCATGGGGTAATGGGTGAAGGAAAATCCTTAAGACCACATTGGGTCTAAGAAGATAGCAAGAGTAAAAACAGTTTGTGAAAATTTTGTTCACTTTCACGAGCTATTTGATTTGTTCCCAAAGCACTGAAACAAAAGACTTACTGCTGGGAAGCTTTTGTGGTGCAACATGCAATCCCCCATATGGAGTGCCGGCTTTGAGTCCTGGTTACTCTGCTTATGATCCCGACCCAGTTCCCTGTTAATGCATCTAGGAAAGCATCTGATGATGACGTGAGTTCTTGAGCTCCTGGCGTTAGCCTGGGCCAGCCCTAGCTGTTGTGGCCGGAAGCCTGGTTGTATCTGAGTAGTGATTACATAAAAGGAAATACCTATGGCCTGATTAATCTTGCAATGATTTACTGGTGAAGCTAGAGAAGGGCTTCCTCCTGGGATGCCATAGTAGAACGGTGACGGACTTCTGCTGCTCTACGGCAGACTGCTGTCTGGACAAGAGTTGTGGAAGGATGGAAAACAAATAGGAACCACATGTCTGCAAAGAGGCACTTCTGAGGTTCCTGGGGCTTTAACAAAAACAGGTTTTCCACTGTTCCTCTTTGTTTTGGCACATCCCTTCCTCTGATTGTCCTCTTAAGACCCTATGGAAAATCATATTTTGCCAAAATGCACACATGAATCAGTGTGCACATGTCTTGGATCACTCCTTTGCTACTGTGCAGCAATGGTGAGCACTCCCTGATCTCAAAGGACTGGCCATGCCTTGGGAGGTCTTCATGAGAGGTCTGCAAGTCCTCTTAGCTTCTCAGTTAGCTTTTCCTGCCTCTTTTCCTAATGTAGTGATTCTGTGGTAAGACCATGCAAGCAAGGATGGATGTATCTAACGAGAAACCTTTCTGCAGAAAGGTATATCATCACTTCCATAAAATGTCTTATTAAGAGCTTGTTTGTATACTGAAAACACGTTAGGCCTGTTGTGCACAGGTTTATGGTCAAAGTAAGAGAAATGAATATAAACCCCTAGAGAAGTTCAGCTAGCTGTATCATTCTATTATGAGAAGCTTGGCAGTTCAATATAATTTTATGTATTTTAAAATTGCAAATTGTTCCTATGAGTGGTCAGAAGGTGCCAGAACAAACAAAAAAATAAACTTTGGTGGTTATTTCTAACTTCTCATAGGAAGTGAATTTTACTCATTTGTCACATACTTCTGTAAAAATGGATATTTTCATCTGATAATTTAACTGATTTTTCTAAATGAGTGGTTTTATTAACATCCAAGGCAGAGGCTGCTATGTCTGATAAATTTTAGGTCTGATGATCTGAGTCCATACTAAATTATTAAATGTGGTGCTGGAACTGTTAGTATTGCCACTAAGTTCTCGATAAGGTAAGGCAGCCAATTGAGTTATTGAAATATTTATAAATTGAGTAATCAGAATTTGAAAGATTTATGATAAGGATGTATTCCTCATCAGGTAACTAAGTAGGTGAATACATTGTCAAACACACTTTTTATTGCAAGATTCTGAAAAACCCCTCTTAAGCCAGTGTATGCCCACATGAAGCATTTATTTCAAATGTTTTTAAATTGTTTGTCTTTTCCTCTCTATTTTTCATTTTCTTTATGCTGGTTTGCTTCAAAAATGGCTACAAAGGCCCGGCTTGGGCCAGGCTGAAGCCTGAAGCTTCATCCAGGAGCTTCCGCATTAGGACCTGGTTCCAAGCACTTGGGGCATCTGCTGCTGCTCTCCTGGACACAACAGCAGGGAGCTGAATTGGAAATGGAGCATCTGAGATGGCATCTCAGGCAGCAGTTTAACATATTGTGTCACAGTGCTAACTCCTTTTTCAAATATTTTTAAAATGTTGGAATAATACCAAAACTTTACACATCTGTTGATCAGGATTTCAGTTGAGTTCATTAATAACTTAAAAATTTTTTTTTATTGTTAATAACATTGTACTATGCGATACAGTTTTATAGGCACTGGGATTCCCAAAAGTTTTTAATTAGAAAGGCAGATATACAGAGAGGAGGAGAGACAGAGTGGAAGATCTTCCATCTGATGGTTCACTCTCCAAGTGGCCGCAACGGCTGGAGCTGAGCCAATCTGAAGGCAGGAGCCAGGAGCTCTTCCGGGTCTCCCATGCAGGTGCAGGGTCCCAAAGCTTTGGGCCATCCTCAACTGCTTTCCCAGGCCACAGGCAGGGAGGTGGATGGAAGCAGGGCTGCCAGGATTAGAACCAGCGCCCATATAGGATCCTGGTGCATGCAAGGCGAGGACTTTAACCACTACGCTATCGTGCTGTGCCCCATTAATAACCTTTATTCTTTCAATTTCTCAACTCTCTGAATGTTGTTTGATTTCTAATCAGCTCACAGTTTTCCTTGTAAGATGGTTGTTACAAATCCCACATGTATTCCTGCTCACATACAATCCGGAGGGTAGGTGGATGTAGAACATGCCTTCCTCCTGAGCTTCAAGTAAACTTTATTGCTTTGCATCTCATTGACTCTGCTTGGGGCAGTCCTGTTGTAGAACAAATCATTTGGGTAAAAGACCACTTTTTGATTGGATCTGTTACACATCATCAGCTCTATTCCTGATATCAAAATGCTTCTCCATGTGAACTAAATGAGCATAGAATGGTTGGTGTGTGGTTTCCTTAGTTTCAACCCCAGAAAAGGGTGAAGGAACTCTGGATAGCATTAAACAGTCTTTATTACAAAGGTGCCTTGTGAGAGCTCAATAAAGGGAGCTTTCAGACTTACTAGTTCTGAATTAAAAAGTTAAAATAAGTACATGCAGAAATGTTAAGAACACTTAGAAATATTTATAATTTCATATTTTCAAGTAAATTATCCTGATCAGTGGTGCTTTTGTTAAGTATGTATTTGTTCTGTTTGCTAATATTTCCTTTTTTTTTCAGATGCCAAATCACAACCAAGTGTTCAGTTTTCAAAGGCCTTAATTAAACTCCCTGATAACCATCATATTAGCAATGTTACTGGCTATCTCACAGTTCTACAGCAGTTTCTAAAAGTGGACAATTTTCTGTACACAACTGGAATTACACTCAATAAACCAGGTATCTAATTTTATATAATAAATTTATAAGAGTGATTAACATATAAATCTCCAGACTGATACATGTCACTTTATAATAAATCTGGCTATGAAGATGTTTACAATTCCTCTTTGTCTAGTGATAGATTATACCAGAGCCTTCAGCATGTATTATATCAAACTAATGGAAATTTCATTTAACTTAAATGCATGAATTTCATTTAATGCAAAACACAGTATAGAAAATAATTGATAAGTATTGATTTTGCAAAGTTCTACAGTTTACATTTGGAAATTTAAATTTTGTAAGCTTTTATAATTTGACATTCTTTATAGATTTACTCAGAACTGTTGACAGTGTATCTGTTTCAGAATCAACAGGTCTAATACCTTTAAAACTGATTATATTCATAGGTGGGAAGGGAGCACAAGGAGCTCTACTCTTTTCCCATTTCTTCTACAAGACACACAACTTGATATTATTCATTGATTACCCAATGAAAGCTACTGTTCTTTAGAGAGTTCTGGAGCATTGCTGTCCAGTGGGAATGCTCTGTTCCCACATGGTAGCCACTGGCCCCATGAGGCGCTTGAGCTTTTGAAAGACCTTGAACAACTTGATTACATCTTATTAGCATTTGCAGCTTGTAGCTACTCTACTGGATTACATGGTTCTCGATTTCTAGGACTATACAACTGTTCTAGGAATATTTTTATCTTGTCTTTTTCTTACCTCCTGTGCTTTATCTCAGATGTTGGGTGATCAGTCTGCAGTTGATGGAGCTGTAGACTGTGCAGAGCTGCAGAGAGATGGAAGGAGCTGGCTGATGGGTTTTATCTAGTAACTTGCTATATGAGCAAACCACATAGACATTTGTAATACCGGATTACTTACCAGTGTATTCATCTTTAAAAAAATATACAACATTACTTCACTCATCTAATCTTACCATCTAAGGGATTTTCTGACTAGTTCCCTGGCTGAAAATTTTCAGTAAGCCAATAGTTGCCATGACAACCTAAAATATATGTGTCAACTTACTGTTAGTGGTAACTGAATTCCTTTCCTACACTATCATCTGCCTCTCCTGCATCTGCCAGAATTACTTCCTTAAAAATTATATATTTTGAAAGGGAAAGGTAGAGAATAGAACTTATCTTCCATCTGCTGGTTCATTTCCCAGTGACTGCAAAGCCAGAACTGGGCCACTTTGAAGACAGGAGCTCCTACATTGTCTTCCACTTAAGAGGTAGTAGCTCAAGCAGCTGAGTCAATTTCCACTGCGTTTTCAGGCCATTACTGGGAAGCCATACCACTGCTGCAGGCAGTGGCTTTATCTGCTGTGCCATGATGCCGAGCTTCCCAGGATCACTCTTGACTTGGGAGCTTTGTACTTGTTTATGCTGTCTGCTTCTGCCTCGTGGAGACTTTGCATAGATGGTTCCTTAGCCTTTGGTGCAGCTTTGATATTCTGTCCTCCAAGACCAGGCCTTCTTTGACTAATTGTCTTGCCAGATTGTCAATACCACTCATCCTGCACCTGAATGTAAACACATGGCAATATTGTACAGAAGTGTGGGGAAGGATTTTTGAGGACTGTAGAAAAAAATATTGCAGGTAATATAAGAAATCATGTCTTCAGTGATTTCATACAATTACATTGTAGGAGTTCATACAATTACATTGGACCAGTCGGGGCTTTGTAACCTATGTAAATGGTTGAATAACACTCTAGTCTCAAAGATAGATTTCAGGGTTAAGTCTAGTACTAAGTACAAAATATAGTGTCTCTACTTGATTAATATGCTAGCAAGTCACTCCTAGAAATTAACATTAAAATGTTAACTTTATTGCTATTTATTATAAATATTCTGGTACATATTGTAACTTTGTTTGGAATTGCTAATATTTAAAGAACAAAAAGGCACCTTTTTTGGGAAAATGACTAATTTATAGGTAGTACCTGATATGTAAGAAGGCATGCTATAGGCCTGGTTGGGTGGCCTAACAGGTTAAAACCCCGCCTTTGATGCGCTGATATCCTGTGTAAACGCTGGTCATATCTCAGCTGCTGCACTTCTGATTATGCTCCGTACTAATGGCCCTGGGAAAGCAGAAAAAGGCCCAAGTTCTTGGGTTCCTGCACCCATGTGGGAGACCCAGACTCCTGGCTTCCGCCTGGCTGAGCCCTATCTATCGCAGCCAAGAGATGGAAGATCTCCAACTCTCTTTTCAAACAAATTTTTTAAAAAGGCATACTATAAATTATGACCAAAATCTCTAAAACCTCAGGCAGAATGGTATAATTTTTTCTACCACTTAAGCTTTGTAAAGTGTGCTCATTCTTTGTAGTGTTGATAATGTGTAGCAAATAAAAATACATAGTGATTATTTAATTTCCAAGCCTTTGTATTAAAAACCATGCCAGGAGTGAAGCATGTATTCCCCATCATATTATCTGGGTTCAATAGCTGGTTTCTGTCTGGGTGCCAGCTTCCTGCTAATGCCAAAACTTAGAGGCAACAGTAATGGCTCAATTACATGGATCCTACCATCCACCTGAGAGATCTAGAGTTCCTGTTTTCCAATTTGGTTTGTTCCAATTTTATCCATTGTAGGCACTTGAATGACTGAGTGGCAGGTCGAGATGGCAAACTATTGTGTTTTGAAACTGAATGCTTTTTACAGAAATTCAGTGTTTGTTCCAGCTCTCTGAAGCAGGTGCATTTTGGGTGAAAGTGTCACATGTATTGAATCTATATCTGCATTAATGATATGACATGGTAGAGCTCTTTTAGGGCATGCTATTAAGATATGTTTCTTTGTTGGATTTTAGAGTTTTAAAAATAGTTAAATCTCAGTGCACTTAAGTCAAATGACTGAATTAGATAAATCAGGTTCCATTTGTTATATTCTTTAGCTCATTTATGGAATATTTAGAAAGAAATGGATCCAGTAACTACTTAAAATTGAGAACCCTGGGTTAAATATTTAAAAAATCCAGTTCTACAAATAAACTATCCTGTTTACTAGGTTTTGAAAACATTGAGCTGACTCCTCTTGCTGCAATATGTGTGAAAATATATTCTGGAGGGAAAGAATTAAAGGTGGATGGCTCTATTCAAATTTCTCTTCCACTTCTACATACAAATGATATAAATGTGGGAGATCGCATACCAGCCTGGACATTTGATATGAACTCAGGTATGTTAAACAGGTGAAAGTATTTTTGAATATTTGAATGTCTGATGCTTTGTAGCTGTACTGTTATAATTTTATGCATTTTGTTAGTGATAAAATTGTTTTCACATCAATGAATATACTACACTTATGGGGGAAAAAAGACACCAAATTCATTTAAAAAATAGCATTTGACTAGGGCTCAGCATTATGGCTTAGCAAGCTGCAATGGTCGTACCAGTTCCAGTCCTGGTTGCTTCACTTCTGGTACAGCTCCCTGCTAATGATATAGGAAAATATTTGGGCTGCTGTTACCTATGTGGGAGACATGGAAGAAGCCTTTTGCTTTGACTGTGCCAGGCCCAGCAGTTGAGGCCATCTGAGCAATGAACCAGCAAATAAAGCTCTCTCTCTTTCTCCCTGGTACCTCTTTGAAATGTTTAAAAAATAACATTTTCTCATTCCTTTGTGAATAAAATAGTAGTGATATGCTATTGTAAATAGTTTGATTAATTTTAGATTAAGAGTCTGATCCATTTAGCCAAAGTACAATTTAAATAAATCATTTAAGATACGAATCTTAGTTTCCTAGTTTATTGAATGACAGTTACCTCAAAGGAGAATATGTTGTTTTTTTGTATATTCTGGCAAGCACCATTGATTGCACCTTTTAGTCATTTGGAATTATGTTTTAAATATTTTAATTTTAATGTGAGATAGAAATCATACCTTATTAAATGATGGAGGTACAGTCTGAGAAACACATCATTAGGTGACTTGGGCATTGTATGCATGTCATAGATCATGCTTAATATAAAGTAAGGTGGCTACAAGAATGACCAGGCAATATAATCTAATGGGAGTGCAGTTGTTTATTGTGGTCTGTTTTTGAACCAAATAACATGATGGGAATGATTCACATCAAACTCTCCACTTTACTAACAAAGCCATTTTGTTATGGAGAACTGTCTATAACATAAGCCATCAATAAACCACAATATAAACATATACAAGCCTATGAGTAGCTTTGTTACATTATTTATGCATAAAATGTCATATGTGGTATGGGTTTTACTGAATTTTTTCCATGGATGGCAGCAGTTTATAGTTAATATAATTTTCTGAAAGTTTAAAAATATTTCGGCCCAAAAGACCTAGGTCAACAGTACTAGGATAATGTTTAATGAACCAATATAAATGACTATAAAAGACAATTGTAAGATTGTAATCAGAATCTAAGAAAAAAAAACCACTATGGCTTGGGATTTTACTACTCATATCCTTAAGATATTTTAGGCAATTTAAACATTTGGAGATCACTTTTCTGAATGTGTCTTCATTCTTATTATGTTTCATCTTAAATTCTTCAAATTATCCTATTTTTTCTTTTGTGACATGTAAAGTGTAAGAAACTTCTAAATAAACATTGTAAAGCATCCTTTTATATTATCCTGTGGTTATATTGCCATGGTTTTCATAGTCTTGGAAAAAATGTCTATTTTTTACATGTCTGTAAGTAAAAATCCCATAGCTCTACAGATAAAAGAATACTAGCTATTGTCCTATTCTATTTACCTTCATTAGGTGCTTGGGTAAATCATGGCTGGGGAATAGTCAAAGAATATAATAATCACTTCATTTGGACATATGATGCACCACATCTGGGATACTGGATAGCAGCTCCACTTCCTGGATCTAGAGGTATTGTAAATATTAAACTTTTTTTTACAAGTTATAGAGAACTGGAATTGATACTAGACTTCAATGTTATTTTAGGTACTTCGACTTACTTTAGAAAAACATTTAGTCTTCAGATCTGTTTTGTTCCAACTGTAGGAAACATTTAACCTTCTTGAATTCTGAGGTCTTTCTTGAGCACAAGAGATGCATCTGTGAAAATTCTACACCGATCAGTTAGGGTTGGAAACAGATAATTTAAGGACACCTATTGGAAGGATGTGGGGAGTTCACAGGATTGCAAGGAGCACTACCCAACCAGATGCCAGAAGGCAGGAATCCTGCAGTGCCCAGGGCCCCAGGAGCAACCATTGACAGAGAGCTAAGTAGTTGCTGCATGATGACTGGCTGCCCCATTTTCCAGTCCTTTCCTCACAGTGTTGTTGATCCTCTTACAGATAAACAGTCTGATTGCCCCAATCTGGGGACATACGCATACCCCTTGTAATGTTATGCTGTTACTGTGGTTTCCTTAAGCCTATTGGGTTTGTGAATTTACAGAATTGAAACAAGAAAACATTTCTGGTGTCACTTCAGTGAAGGTTTTGTGGTGGGAGTTAAGTATGTGTATTGCTTTCTCATCCTTCCTTAGTAGTCATGCATAAGAGAGGACTCTGGGTTTACTGAATGTTTGGTGCCTGGCTGAGAGGCAGCTGCTGCCTGGCGATTTCATGCTGTTCAAGAATTGCTCCATTATGATCAAGGATAGGAATGACATTTACATACATTGTCCTGTGCATGCCATCATCTAGTTGTATATAAGGTCTTCCAAAAGTTCATGGGACTGTTATGAAAAATCTGCATGGGTTCCAGACAATTTTTTGCAACAAAATAAACCCATGTTAACTTCATTTTAACTACCATTTTGAAGGCTGTTTTCCAAAATAATTATTTTAGTTCAGTTTGGTTATTTTGTGTTAATAACATTTAAAATTAAAGAAGGTAAAAACAAGACTTTCTTCAATGAAGCCAAGGGTTAGTATCCTAATAGAAAAGCACATGAACTTTTATAGCCATGTATAATCAAGAGGAATATTCTTTTGTTTTTATTTGAACTTACTGTGTTTGAGATCATTTATTCAAAACAGAGGGTGGTTGCTTTTATTCTTTATGATGTAGAAATACCATGCTGTCTTGCCAGCTGTCTGGCCTTAATCCCATTCTCGATTTGTGACTATAATGAGATACTGATAAAGAGCAATTAATAATTATAACTCCAAATTCAACTAAATCCAGAATATTTAGCGAAAACATAAGGAACAAACACATATGAGTTTTGTTGGAAAACATACTTACATTAAAAACACCTAAAACAACCAATTAACATAAGATAGTTTTATGAATTACTAAAGTTAAAGTGGCTTTCCAAAATAAGTAGGAATTCTATTCCAGCTTACCTGTTGGCTCTTGCATAGATCAAAAGACTGAAACAGAAACATGGGATTCTTTTAAAATCTGAATTAGACACCGTCTAAAGATACTTTGAAAAAAAGTTATTCCATGAGTATATCAGTTAAAGGAACAATATATTGATAGGCATAGCCAGAACCACTATCAGGTTATCCACAAATCTATCATTAACTTCGTGAGTTTGAAATAGTACTTACCTATCTTGAGTGTCAGTCATCTTTGTAGAGGTTTCTTTTGCTACAAAACTTTGTAGAATGCAAATGTAAATATTAGTTTGCTCAGGCAACCGTAACAAAATACCAAACACTGGCTTGAACAGCGTAGGTTTATTTTCTCACATTTTAGAGGCTTAAAGATCCAGGTCCAGATGCTGTCAGGGACGCTGAGCCTTTTCTTGCCCTTCTGATGTTATCTTCAAGTAGTCTTTCCACTATCCTATGTGTAGAAAGAGATCTCTCGATGTCTCATGCTGCTCTTTTAGTACAGCAATCCTGTTGGATTAAGACAGACCCCTTATGGTCCTTACTTGGTACCTCCTTATGGGTCCTGTATCCACAGTCACATGGAGGGTTGGGCTCCAACATAAGAATTTTAGGGAGACAGTTTAATCCACACCAACTTTTTCCTTTGTACTCAACACTTCTGATAAAACATAGGGGTTTCTTCCCAGACCAGCTGATTCTGACTCTCAATGGAGGACTTGAAGTTTATGAGGCATAATCAATTAAATTCCAACACCAGTGACCTGGATTTAGCATAGGGTTGCAGACTAAAGGCTTGATTCTATGAGATTACCCTGCCTCCCCGTTGCAGATGCCAGTTGCACAGAGCAGATTCCTAGGCTACTTTGCAACTGAAATCATGTCATTCGGAAGCATGACATTTCAAAAAATCATGCATAATTTTCTTTAAATGCATATTTATGCATTTCCCATGTTTTTAAAGAGCTCTCATATGCGTAGATTTCAGAGTCACAGAATTTAATCCTTCAAATCCTAGCAGTTTAAGATTGCCTCTTTTTGCTTGCTCTGGAATGTAAATTTTTCTTTTTTCAGATCAAATGCAGCTGAGAGTCAACACTATCAACATTCTATCTCAATCTCTTTGACTAATTTTAGTTTTATGCAGAGATTTTCTGGTTTACTCTTACTCTATGGCTTGGGCCACAATTTCTGTCAGCAGCTACAAAGAGTTTACTCATAATTTGCTTCCTGGCCTTTCCAGAACCTACTGTCACATATTGTTGGTTTTTATTATCATAGCAGGACCTCATCAGTAGCATTTAGATAGTAGTTTTGGCAAGCATCAGCACTGCTACAGCAACAAACAAAACTAGTCTCAGGGCACACAGCAGCAAACACTTATTCGCTACATACATTTCATATTTTGGGGTTGGCTGCTGCATATCGGGCAGATTTTGTTCAGTACTGTTTGCTTTCTAGTCCCTAAATGAAAGGAGTAGTGATGCTCTGGGATGTCATATCTGAGCATTAGAAGACCAGACTGATTGGCCAGAACCATACCAATGCAGCCCCTCTTACTGTGTGCACATTTGATGGGTCCAGGGAATCTGATGAAGCCCAAAGGGCAGGGGTGAGATACATCATTTAAGAAGGAATCTACCATAGGAGGGACCAGTATGCCTTACCTAGGATCTAGCAGTGTAAATTTTTATCTAAAATAACATTTTTTTCTGTTTCTGTTGAACCATGCAGGTTCAGGTGTAAATGAAGATTCCAAGGACATAACTGCCTACCACACAGTGTTTCTCACGGCCATATTAGGAGGAACAATAATCATTGTCATTGGATTTTTTATTGTTCTGCTTTGTTACTGCAGGTAAGAATATCATTGATGAAAGAAAAGCACAGATATTGTCAAAGTATCATTTCAGTGTATCTGGAATATGCTCAATTTCATTTATAAAAATAATTTGATTTTTAAATAGGTTGAAAAAAAATGGTTGTGTTCTAACAGTGGCATTGCCCATACAATACTCAGAAAGGAGTGTTTAAGAATAACTCTTCTTGGAGTCAGTGTAAGTGCCACAGCACATTAAGCCATGACCTGCAGTGGTATCCCATATAGGCATCAGTTTCAGTCCTGGCTGCCACATTTCCAGTCTACATCCTTGCTAATGCACTGGGGAAAGTCGCAGAATATGTGCTTGGTCTCCTGCACCCATGGGGGACACCTGGAAGAATCTCCTGGCTTTGGCCTGGCCCAGTGCTGGATATTGATACCATTTGGGGAGTGAACCAGTGACTGGAAGACCTCCCTGTCTAACTCTGGCTTTTAAAGCCAAACAAACCTTCTTGAGCATAACTTTTACATTTTTTTTTTTTTGCCTTCTCTTGTAGGGGTAAATGTGGTGCTCCACAGAAGAAAGAAAGAAATATCACTAAACTTGACGTTCTCAAGAGAGATCAGACAACCTCAACAACGCATATAAATCACATCAGTTCAGTCAAAGTTGCATTAAAAGCTGAAGAAAAGTCACAATTATTCAAGGCCAAAAATTCCTCCTACAGCCCTCCAAAGGAGGAGCCGTCCACTGCAGAAGCAGAAGAAAGAATTTCAATGGTGAAAACTCGGGACAATTTTAAGATCTACAATGAAGATGTTTCATTTCTATCAGTCCATCAGAACAATTACTCAAGAAACACAGCACCGTCATTGGAGCCCAATGTGGGGTCCAAACAGCCTAAACATGTTAACAACAATGTCCCTTCATCGTTAGGTGATGCACAAGAGGAAAAGAGGTATCTTGCAGGCAGTGAGGAGGTGTATGGGCATTCCCACATTCCTGAGCAGCTTATGCATATCTACAGCCAGCCCATTGCCATCCTTCAGACATCTGACCTTTTCTCTACTCCAGAGCAGCTGCATGCTGCCAAATCAGCTACTTTGCCAAGAAAGGGACAATTAGTCTATGGCCAACTCTTAGAACCAGTGAACAGAGAGAACTTTACCCAGACATTGCCCAAAATGCCAATGCATTCTCATGCACAGCCCCCAGATGCCAGAGAAGAGGATATGGTTCTTGAAGGTCAACAGAGCTTACCCTCCCAGACTTCAGATTGGAGCCGATATTCCAACAGCCTCCTGGAGTCCGTCTCTGTTCCTGGAACACTAAATGAAGCGGTGGTAATGACTCCGTTTTCATCAGAGCTTCAAGGAATTTCAGAACAGACCCTCCTAGAGCTGTCCAAAGGGAAGCCCTCTCCTCACCCTAGAGCCTGGTTTGTTTCTCTGGATGGGAAGCCAGTTGCACAGGTGAGGCATTCCTTCATAGACCTGAAGAAGGGCAAGAGAGCTCAGAGCAATGATACGAGCCTGGACTCCGGAGTGGATATGAATGAGCATCACTCCAGCCGCAAGCTGGAGAGGGAGAAAACGTTTATCAAAAGCATGCATCAGCCCAAAATTCTTTACTTAGAAGACTTAGACCTGAGCAGCAGCGAGAGTGGAACTACTGTCTGCTCCCCTGAAGACCCAGCTCTACGGCACGTCCTCGATGGAGGCAGCGGAGTCATCATGGAGCACCCTGGGGAAGAGTCGCTAGGGAGAAAAAGCGCTATTGAAGATTTTGAAGCCAACACATCCCCCACTAAAAAAAGGGGCAGACCACCGCTAGCCAAAAAAGACAGCAAGACGAATATTTGGAAGAAACGAGAAGAACGCCCCCTGATTCCCATGAATTAATTCTGACAGTAGCTGTGTTTCTGCTGTCTTGTGCTGTTGTTCTTGCTTCTTGTTGACAGTCGCTGTCTGAACTTAAGAAGTGAGACCAAGCCATCCCGTGGTCCCTGGACTGTCTAAAGCAGGGCAAATAGTAAAATGGTAACTCAGTAATCAGACAGAAAGATACCAAGGAATGCTTTTTCTGGTCTATTGCTTTCAGTTATTTTGAGGTGATGAATCTGAAATACCTTAAGTTTTCAAAATGTAAAATAGTGTGAGATGCTATCTGAAAACAATGCCTGCCTAGTAGCCAATTGGGCCCTGACTCTCTTCAGAGTAACAGTGAAATGTGTGCTTCTACAGTTGCTTCCAAAACTATTGCCTCTGCTTTAATGCATAACCCTGTGGAACACTTAGAAATGAAACGGTCTTCTTCATGCTTTGTGTTCTTGTGAAATGTTACCGTGTTCACCTCTGCCTATACTTGGAAATGGATGGATAAATGTTCTGGATTGGTGTTATTCTAAAGACCAAGTAGCATTTTTTATTGCTATACACTGCATGCGTGTTATATCATCCCAAAGGTAAACCCTACCCCTACATGCGATGGCAAGAAGCTGCTTGTTGTCACAGAGGGAGATGCTAGTTCTGTTATTTTTGGATAGAATTTCACACAATATGATGCTATTTAGAAATTTGAGACAGAATTCTGGCACTGAGTTATTTTTATTCTCAATTTCCATCTTTTTTTTTTTTTTTCCTTTTCAAAAATAAAGTGAGCTTAGTTGACTAGGAAATCTTTTACCTGTCTGAAAAGAGAAATCTGGCAGTTTAAGACTCAGTGATCCATGTTAGAAATTTTAATGTCTTTCTTCTAGTCACAAACAATACACTTCGTCACTTAAAAGGCTTTCACACTTGATTTTTCCCCTAAAAGTGTTTATGAACATCAGAATATTAAAATATGTGGAGACAAAGGATGCAAATATTTCAGCATTATGCCTGAAGTGTCAATGAATAGAAGAAAGCCATTTTCCATAAGCTCAAATAATATCAGGGGCTGCTATTGTGGCTCAGCGGGTTAAGCTGCCACTTAATGCCAGTATCCCATATCAGTGGGAAATGACCCAGGTGCATGGGCCTCTGCCACCCACGTGGGACACCTGCTAGTGTCCGTGGTGCCAGCTTGGCCTAGCCTGGCCGTTTGTGGAGTGTACAAGCAGATGGATGATCTTTCTATCCCTCTGTCACTCTGCCTTTCAAATAACTAGATCTTACTTCAACTTCAGGATATTAGTGTATTCAAATGTTGATACTGACGAAACATGTTTGAGGAAAATAGTTTCAATTTCAGGAGAAAGCATTTGCTTCATCGTCTATAGCCTTTACAACTTTGTTTCTGGAAGTAACTTATTTTAGCAAACCATTTAGTATGAATACATTCAAGAATTGTTTTTTCATTATGTTTTCAGCTCTTACTAATCATTCAGGTGTCCTAAAACTAAAACGACTTTGTTAAAATCAACTACATCCATTTTTTTTTTTTTTGTATCTGAAAATTTCCATGAAGGCAAATGTGTGAAGCACCTCTCCTTTTTCCTTCAAGGGATAACTGAAATTGATTTAGTTTTCATATCCTAATATCCCACATGGGAGCAATCCAGGCACTCAAGCCGTGTAAACAAGTTGAAAGAACCAAAATAGTGACGTTGGCTTTAGTAAACTTGTAGATACTCGTATAATGAATACTACATTTTTTCCCCCTACACCAAAATGTTAGACTTCAGCCAGTTTTTTTCCTGTGACCACTTCTAAAACATTTGTCCTTTCAGGAGACTCTCCTACCTTTCTGTATTAACCCAAAGAATGTAGCGACTCTGGCAAATGTTTGCTATAATTAAGCCAATCGAAAGAAAAGACACATAAAAGCCAAGGTTTACTACCCTTACAGTGGATTTATTTTATTTTATTTTATTTTTGTGAACTAGTGATGAGGCTCAAAATTAGAGGTGGCTTTGTGCTGGTTTTAGATATGAAGATGTTAAAAACAGCATAAATGGAAATGATTTGGCAAAGGTTAAGGAATTAGTGCTCTGCTGAAGTGCCTTTGATAGAGTTGCATTAGAAGGATAAATAACATCTTTCATAAATGTACATTTTTCTGTTAGCTAAGTTAAACAGATGTGCAGTTTTTTATTAATTTAAAAAACATAGACCTAGTGTTTCATGTTGGAACAATGAACTTTGCATGTAAGTAACATTTATCTCTTTTCTTAGGTTTAATTTTTTTTAATTTAGTATATTTATTGATAAATATTTATGTTGTTCCGTTTCCTTAGTAGGGCTAGTATGAATTTTCTCACTTTCAAATAAAAATATTCCATCTCCACGTGGTAACAGGATATACCCGGTGGTATAAGGAGCACCATTCAGGTGTGTCACCGTTCATGTTTATGTAAAAGAAATTAGGCAGTGTATTCCAAGGGCTTTTCTAGAACTACTTATTTGGTTTTAGAGTAAAACCTTATACTTCTTTTACACTGCACATGCCATTTTCAATTGGAAATCACAAGTAATTTATCCTCTTTTTTTAAATGACCGAAAGAGTGTGACTCCTTATTTGAGTAGTCCAGATTTACTGTTCAAGTGGAAGCTGTCTACTTTTTCTTACCCCAAGTGACAGTAAACCAACAATACCCACTACTTTCTTAAATTTTTAAATTGAAAGACAACACAGGTTTTCTGGAAATGTAATCCTAGGTAATTTTGGTCACTATTTATAAACAATTGTGGATTATTTTTACATACTTTGGATATATCCTGAAGGCAACATTTCCCTTAATTATCTAAAAAAAAAGCACAGCTAAATAATTTTTGAATTCATATGATCTTGAGACTTTATAAAAATCAATTTTTATGACTTTATGCAGGTGTATAGGGATTATGCCCTTTTGTAATCATATACTACAAAGATCACAGCTGTTGAAGAATAAAAGCACTTTGCTTTGGCAGTCATTTTCAGATCAGTTACTGTGTTCGAATTCTCTGGTATCAATGCATATTATAGGTTTTTAGAGCTCAGTGGGTCTAAACCTCACAAGAAGGTGAAGCTCAAAGGTAACAATGATTTGTAAAGTGTGAGTGTCTCACTCCCCCCTGCACCAGCATTGTAAAGGGATTCACTGTATTAATTTCCATTTCAGATCTAGAATTGGTATTTGGCCTTCTTGTTTTCAAGTGTTTCTATCTTTTGTATTCTTTTCCTAGAGATCTCAGTTCGGTGTATTTACTGCCATAATGTCATATCTACTGCTGAAAACTGTAATCTGAAGATTTGTAAAATGTTAAACATAGTTCCTTAAATAAAATCAATCTAAAATTGTACTTGGTGTATTAATTTCAGTTTAGCTATAAGGCACACACACTCAATTCATAATTGTTTCATTACTTTTACATTTTGTTCATTACACTCCCTACCTATTGTCTTTCTCCAAAATTCACAAAGTGTAGACAGATTGTTTTCCATGAAGACAAGATAATCTGATAGGACACAAAATTACAGTTGCCCCAAATACCAGTGAGAAAATACAATGTCCCCCCACCTACTTTTATAATATTTCTTGGATTTTAGTCTCTGAGTAAATTATGCAAAAACTCTTAATGTTAGAAGCTCTACAGTCCTGCTTAGTCAACAGTATTTACTAGATTTGTATTTAGTAACTGTAAACTACTTCTGAATTTTTGTCAGCCATGTTTTGGACATTTCCCTTTGACACCTTTGATTTAGGAACTGACCTATGAATCCATTCATGAAAATATGGTACCAAACAGACTGATTCCTAGCACCAGATCTGTGACAGACTTCTGGTTGGAGTCCCCATGTGCCCAGCTAGACTGTGGCTGGCTTTATGCATTCTTGGATTCTTTATCAGAAACGATGCCAACCCAAAGAAGTCAGAAGGTCCAGAATACACAGAACTGCTTTGTAAGCAAAAGCATTTCTTACATCATAGTAAGAAACAAAGCTGCCAGAGACACATGCATCAGCTGGCGATCATTCTCACAGAAAACACTAGTAAAACTGACTTGTAAAAACTATAGGAAAGAATGTTGAGTAGAAGAGTTTTAAGTCAGTTTTTCAAGCTTATCACCTTTCAGTGCTTAATTTTGACAATCAAGGACACTCTAATCACGTGATGGGGAAAACTGTACCACAGTATTAGGATCCATAAATGCACTTTTTGATATTCCTGCAAGTATCTTTTCATGTTATATGGGGAGAGAGCTCAATTCTATCGGTAAGCTTTCTAAGTCAGCAGCAGGGTTAGGTCTTGGGTAATACCCTTCATGTCTTAGACTTGGATTTATTTCTTCCGTCAAAATGAAAATTTTCTCCTTAAAGCCTCTATTTTGTGAAAACAGACTAATGTCTATTCAGTTTTTTTTTTTTTAATAAAAATATACCTTCAAGAGTGGCATTCTGTTGCTTGAGATGATCACATCCCACATATGAGTATAGGTTTCAAGTTCTAGTTTTTCTGCTTCCAATCCAGCTCCCTGCTACACTTCCTGGGAAGCAGGAGGTGATGGCTCCAGTATGGTTACCTACTTAGGAGACCTGCATGGAGTTCCTAGGTCCTGGCTTTTGCCTTGCTGGCTGCAAGCTCTCCAGCCATTTGGAATTACCAGCATGAGGGAAAGTCTGTCTCCTGTCATTCTCAAATTTTAGAAAAGTTAAAATTCACTTTTAGAGTTCCACTAGAGAAAACTATTTTAAAAAGCAACCACAGGCCAGTACTACATGTATAGGGCTGATCTGTCATCTGTGATGCCACTGTCCCATTTGTGTGCTGGATGGTATCAGCCACTGCAATCCCCTCCCCACCGCCACCCCTCAGCCCCAGTTCCTACTAACGGTCTGGGAAAAACAGCTGAACATGGCTAAAGTTGGTTAGGCCCCAGCTATTCAGGTCAGGAAGACCCGACAAGGCTCCTGACTCGGCCTGGCCTAGCCTTGCCTACTGCAGCCATCTGAGTAGTGAACTAGTGAATGCGTGATCTATCTCACCCTCTCTTTCAAATAAATAGGTTAAAAAAAGAAT